GTGGCTGTGGATGGCAATAAGTACTATTTTACATTTCAGTAGAAGGAACAGTGACATTTTTAATGGAAGGTTTCTAGCCCAGTCATTAAAATAACAATACTTAGCATACTTTCACAATACTACAAACAAACAAAACAGAATTGCATGAACTGGTGTAAATTGCATGGGGCCTCGCCTAGCAGTGGATGTAGATATGTGTGCTTGATTGGAAAGGCTGCATAATTCCCAAGCAGAGGGCTTTTCTTTGCTGTAATTACTCTTGCTGTGAGTCACACTGTCTTGTTGCCTAGATATGATAATGCAAATGAAAATATTCCCTTGAAATTTGAAAACCTAGAAGACTTCAAAGTTGTTTTTAAGGAATTAAGGTCATTATTTCTACTGCTACCACTGTTGTCCTTCGAAAGACCAGCTTCACTTTCCTTCATCAGTTGCCTGGCTTCCTCCCTCTTCCCAGAATTTACCAGTTCAGATTCCCAAGAGCTGGAACCTGGCTGCCTCTGCTAATAAACATTGCCTCTGTGTGGTAGTGTTGTTGTTGTTTTTTTCCACTTCCTGGGAAGATCTGTCATATAGTACCAAAACCAAGGGAGCGCTCTATGTAGAATTCTGGCCAGAACCTATCCCGTTTGGGACACAGTCTGAGCTAACCGAGTGTGGTGTGGGCTGTTGCAATCCCGTTTTGTCTGAGGCAGGTCTGCACTACTTATCTTGTCAGAAACACTTGGACATGTGTGAAATACCAAAAAAAAAAAAAAAAAAAAAAAAGTAAAAAGACTGTTGTTGGTTGTCTGTGGAACAGTTATTTTTTTCTACTGCCTTTCTTCCCTTGATCCTGTTCAACTTCCATGAAGGAGAATCTAGATTATTTACTGATTTATGTCCTTGTCAAAGGGTTGATGTAAGTGTGGCGGCTATCTAATGTAATTCTGGAAGAAGACATTTGAGAAGATTAAAGCTAAGGGTTATGTAAAAACATTTGCTTACCTTTTTAAGAAGTATGGGCCATCAGACTAGCTCTCCCTCCCTCCCCCCCCCTCTTCCCTCCCTCCTTCCCTTCCCTCCTTCCTTCTGTTAAATCTTGGGATATATTTGTCTTCATGATGTTCTTGGAAATCACAGCAGCTACATTAGGACCATTAGAGGAGCCAGTTAAGAGAATAGCCCAACCATTACACTGATTGATGGCAGAGCAGAAAGTGAAAAATTCTCTTGGGGCTGGAGAGATGGCTCATTGGTTAAGAGTACTAGCGGCTCTTCCAGAGAACCTGGGTTTAATTCTAAACACCCACATGGTGACTCACAACAGTTTGCAACTCTAGCTCCAGGGGCACTGATGCCCTCTTCTGTCCTCTGCAGGCACCAGGCACACCTGTGGTGCACAGACATACATGTAGGTAAAATACCCATACACATAAAGCAACACCAGTGAATTTTAAAAAACAAAGTAGCCTTAATGTCAGTTGTGCTGCGGTTCTGTGTGGACCAGCTCTGTAAGTGCTCTGATGTGGCTAGTGGCAGCTTCCAGTATGCTACTGAGTGAACTGTCTCAGAGGTAGACCAGATGAACAAATTAACCCTTAGACTGCACAGAGTGAGAGTCCAGAGACATAGGTTAGCACACGTAGAATAGGGAGTAAACGGGAGAGGGACCACACCAGCTCATTCTGAGGCATACAATGTTCCATATGCTACTTCTCTCACTGCTGCATCTGCCTTCCCTACTGATGGTTTCCTATATGGTCCAGAACTGACCTAAAAAGAAGAAAAAGACTACTATTCCTAGTTGTCTGCAACAGTTATTCTTTCAGTTATTGGACAAGTCAATAGATAGATGGCATCCTGTGAATTCTGCCTACATGTAACACAATTTGCCTATTACCTACTCATCCATACTTAAAATCTATCAAAAGTTCACACACACACACACACACACACACACACATACACACACACACACACACACATTTTCAGGCTCAAGTTTATTCATCTAACAGCTGAATATTAACTGAAAATTCAATTATGGTTGCCCTGGAATTTCTAATAAGAAGATAATAAATGTCTTTATAGTTTAATTCATTTTTTAGTTTTGTTTTTTTTTTTTAAATTTTCAACATACAATCTAACACATCCTAGCTGGTTCTCACATAAAGCAAATGGGAAAATGTATTCCAGGGAATGGGCGGATGGCTCAGCGAATAAGAGCACTTGTGCTGCCAGCATGAGGACCTGAGTTTGAACCCACAGCACTCACATAAAAAGCCAGGGATGGCTGTATATTCCTGTAGGGGGGCAGAGAAAGGTGGATCCCAGGAACTCACTGGCCAGCACATTCATACATGAGAAGTGGAGGGAAAATAGGAATATGCATTTTCAAAAGTAAATGACATGTGGACTTTAGTTTCCTGAGTGGAAATACAGTCATAGACTCTACAGCACTACAGGTATGCATTTATGTAGCACTTGTTTGCACATTTAGTTTCCATTTCAAACAACTGTAGGCATGGTGCTCATGATGGGCCATGTGCTCAGAAGTTTACAATTGGGACAACTTTGGCTTGATGACTCATAAAAGATTTTTTAGAAGACTTTTAAAGAATTGACTCAATGTGTATAAATAGAGTGGTGTTAAAAATTTATAGTCTCAAGTATTCTTTTTAGTTATTCATGATAATTTTACTTATATTTTAGTGCTTTAAAAAAAATCTAAAGACTTTTTGGACCTGGAAAGATGGCTCGGTGGGGAAAGGTTTGACTGTACAAGTACCACAAGTATAAGGTTGTCTGTAACCCCAACTCTGGGAGGAAGAGACAGTTTGTGACCTGCCTAAAAGACATATCCACCAGCACAACAGTGGCACAAAAGTTAGGAGGAAAACCAACCATTAAAACATTGGATTTAAGGCGAGTTCAGTGAGATGGAATCCATACCTGACACTGTTAATGAGGCCAAGAACCTAGGCCTAGAGAGGCCATGGACCTATCTCCTAAACCTATTACTGTTCTGCTAAAGGTACATAGCAATACAACGACTCCTAATGATATATTGCTATACCCACTGCTCGACCCTCATCAGAGAAGCTGCTTCTTGCAGTAGATGATAATTAACACAGATAACTGTAACTGGACAATATGCACAGTGAGAGACTTTGGAGCACTCAGCCCTAAATGGGATGTCTTCATCATTCCCTTCCTCTCTGCTTAGGGATCTACAGAGAAGAAAAGTGAAAAGACTGTAAAAGGCAGAAGTAATGGGTGACTTCAAGGAAACAGTGTTCTCCAGACACAACAGGACTGATGCACATATGAACTCACAGAGATTGCCATAGCATGCATACGACCCGTACAAGTTCTAGCCGGACAAAATCCCAGTACTGAGAACTGGAGGTGGATGTGAAGTCCCACTTCTGACCAGAAGCTGTCTGTAATTGATAGCTGCTGGGAGAGGGAAGAAACAAACAGTTCATTGCTGGGTGACATTGGTGATTATTTTTCTCCTCTTATAGCATGTATAAATACCTTCCAGCACCATGAAGCTAGTCAGAAGGGGTGAAGCTTCTAGTAGAGCCAAGCTCAATTTATCTGTGTTCAATGACATGCATATGCACTGTCTTCAGCAATAGGTTGTAGAGGGTAGCCAATAGCATTGCCAATAGTCTGTGATGTTTTTTAGGGGTGCTTATGGACCCCTTTGACAATGACTGAAAGAGTTGTAACCCATTCCTGGTACTGGGGATTTTATTTGGTGATGTGAGATGTCTGTTTGGATCATTCTCTCCCCCATTATATGTAACTCCATTTAAATTCATTTTATACAGGTGTATATTTTAGGAAGTTCTACAGTGGTAGGTTTTCTCATGCAAGATGGTGTAGCAGTTAAGAGCACTGACTGCTCTTGTAAAGGACCCGGATTCAATTCCCAGCACCCACATTGTGGGTCACAACCCTCTCTAACTTCAGTTTCCTAGTGTCTTATGTTCTCTTCTGGCCTCCGTGGGCACTGCATGCATGTGGTACACAGACATGCATCTAGGCAAAACACAAATACACATTAAATAACTACATAGATAAATATCTAGTTAGATGAGCATTCAATTATACAGGAAGGTTGTTTAGGAGATTTTAAGAAAGAACGGCTTCAAAAATGTTGATCTTTTCCTTTCTATTTCTTTGTTTTTATTAGTATACGTGTGTGTGTGTGTGTGTGCGCGTGTGTGTGTGTGTGCGCGTGTGTGTGTGCATGTGTGCGTGTGCGTGTGTGTGTGTGTGTGTGTGTGTGTGTGTAGATGTGCTGCTTGAGTGTCAGTGTGCACGTGGAGGTCAGAGGACAACTTGGGAGAGGTAGTTATCCTCTTCCACTCTGTGAGTCCCGGGGACGGAAGTTAGGTTGACAGGCTTGGCAGCAAGGTTCTACCTGTTGCACCATCGTGGCAGCCCTTCCCCCATTCCTTTGCATTTTCCTTTCTTGTGTGTGATAGAAACTAATAATTTTTCAGAAAAAAATAACATACATAGCATGTCAGATATGGGTAGCAAATTAAAACTTTCTGATAGAAAGCTGAAGTAAAAAAACAAGACTAAAATATCTTAAAAAAACAGTGGTGTTGCTAGGTTTCCTAGCCCGAGGCTGGATGGGGAAATAGGCTCTGCTCGGCCCTGGGGTAACAGGTGGGAGAGGCAATTCCGTTTGGTCTGTTTCCTTTAGAAGCATTAGTTGTCTAGCATATTCCCTCCCTCCCTCCTTCCTTCCTCTTTCCCTCTCAGCAAAGTGTCGATTTTGTTTTAAAAAAAATCTGAATTAAAGAATTGTTGAAGTAGGTGTGTGTGAACCTGATGCAAGTTTTCGAATGCAATGAATATGCAAAGCCATCTTTCTTTTCCCCTGAAGCATTGGGGATCCAACCCAGGGCCTGGAGCATGCTTGGCAGCCTCTCTTCGGTTACTGGATGTCTTCAGCGGCACTACCCTCTTTAACGGCCATTTCTCTTCTGTTGTTGCAGTGAGCTGCTGTCCTCTGGCTATGTAGAGAGACACATTGAACGTGGAGGCAAGGCCGTGGAAAGCAAAGTAAGTGAAAGTTTCCTTCCGTTGTGGGGAATCTTTTTAAACATGGAGTTTGGGACCCAGGCCTTTGTACTTGCTGGATGTGCATTCTGCCCACTGAGCTGTGCTCCTTAAATGAAAATTGTACCTGATTCCAAGAATGCCTAGAGCTCAGTCTCTCCAAGGGCTCTGCTCACTTGTCATAGAACTTCTGTTTGTGGAAAGTCAAGTGTAGTGCATTCAATTTGGGGTATGAATATGAATGTGAGAAGAGGAATACATTCATATGAAAAATGTAACTGCTGCTTTGGTAAATCTTTAAAATTGTAATTTTAATTTAAAAATATTTTAAAATGTAATACTGAGACAGAGATGTACATAAAACCATATATGGACTGATGACTTGTTAAAAGTATGCGCCTGTGACTTCCATCCTGTTCAAGCTTGGTCAGAGAGCCCACCTGTTGCTTTGCACACCCAAGCCCCGCCTCCTCCTCCTGCAGAGACCCCAGTAAAGACCACCCTCATTGTGAGGCTGTCCTTTTAGCACTGTGATTTATAGTTTTATTACCAAAGCACCTGACTCTTTAGTTTTGTCTATTTGTACTTTAAAGTGTCTCGAAATTTATTCTGTCTTTTTGTCCTCATAGTTTACCTGTTGAAGAAATGAGATTGTTTATCTTATGCAGTTTCTCATAGTCTGGATTTTAGTGTTGATTGCACTTTTATATTTAGAGCAAGTAAAATCCACCTCAGTGATGATCTTGAACAGATAATCACTTAGGGCCTTTAGTGCCTTGAGAGTCTGTTAGGTTTCATTGAATGTAGTTTTATCTTGCACAACCTGGTTTTAAAGTTCTTTTATAGCTATTTTTATACCTTTCCCCTCCAAGGTTATAAAAAGCCTTTATGGACAAAAGAGATACATATTCTTTTGATATGACAAAAAATTTCATCTTTAACTTTTATGTATTTTTGATTCATTGAAAACGAAGCTCCAGGAGCTATGGAGATGGTTCAGTCAAGCAGCATGTCTACTGTACAAATGTGAGGGCCTGATTTCTGGTCCCCAGCAGCTGGGGAGAAGCCAGGCTGGAGGCACCCTCCTGAAATCCCATCAGTGGGGAGGCAGAGATGAAAGGGAGGATTCGTGGGGCTGGTTGGCCAGCCAGGTTTAACCGAATTGTTCAGCTCGATGTTCGTTGAGTGTCAGACTCGGTCTCATAAAAACTAAGGTGAAAAATGATTTTAGAAGATCCTGATCTAGCCTTTATATGCACAGGCACACATGTGCATGTGGATGAGTGTCATACACATGTGCACACACATAAGCACATAAACCCCTCCCAACAAAATAAAAATGAAATTCTAAATGCAACCCTGTCTTTAAACTTTCTTGTGTTTGATATGAACTTCATTGTTTTTTTTATGTCTATACCTGTGATCCAGTTAAGTTGTTTCCTTTATAAATAATGATGATAGCCACTGTTTGAGTATTTATTGTATATCAGAGACATTAGATTCTCTGCCTCGTAATCAATGCAACATTCCTTGGAGATATGTATTATCTTCTTTTTGTAAGGGGATACAAGAAAGACTCAGTGGAGTTTTAAATTCTGCCCAAGACAGATTATGAAGTGACAGCATTGGAATTTAAGCCCAAGATAATCCAATATTAATTCATATGGATGTTATAAGAAGAATGTATATGTGTATGTACATATTTTTTCATATTTTTGTTTTTTGAGAAAGGGACTCATTCCTGTAGTCTGGGCCAGTCTCAAATTTACATCAATCCTCCTGCCTCAGCCTTCTAAGAGCTCAAATTACTGGCATGAGCCACCATACCTGGCACCAAAAATTTGAAAGCATTTACTAATTAGAATATAGTAGGAATCGCATTTTCAATTTTGAGTGTGGAGAACCCCAACTTTGGATTTGAAAGACAGGAAAAATTGAAGAAATGAATAGTGACAGCAGATTCAAAACCATACAGTTTGCTGTTTTTAAGTTAGAGTTTGTTGTTTCTGTTTTCATTTTTTGTTTGTTTTTTTTGAGGCGGGGGTGGTCTTAGAACAGAACTGAATCTGTTGGTATTCTGGATAACTGAAGTTTCCAGTTACTTAGCCACAATATTCAATACTAATAATGATAATAACTAACATTTACTGCTGATGATTTGGTTGTACATAAACTTGTATATGTTCCACCCTCCAAGTGATCTGTTATCATCGATACAACTGTTTTCCTGCTTTACAGAGAGCTCACATAGCTGCAGTGTGAGCCTTGATTACCCAACTTCATGGCCAAGCCATCTCCCAGAGATCATCTACTGGATAGATTATATTGCATAAAATAGGAGGGCCATAAAAAGTTGAAATGGATTTTATTAGTCTTTTTTATGCATGTGTTTTGGAGGTTTCTAATAACAGTAGCAATACATTATTGCCTTTAATCCATAAACAAAAGTGGAAATTTATCTAAAGACCCTGTAGGTTTTCTCCCAGCTTGGGTTAAACTACCTTTGTTTAGTTTTTCTGGATTATCAATTGCTTCTGGGCAATGCTGGCAACACACTTGCTTCCTTTTCCTCACGTGACCATCTTGGGAAAATAACCCTAGCAGAAATTTTCGAATACGAAGTGAGGAAAATAATTTTCATGTGCCAGAAACTTGTACCAGTGGTTGAGGGGACAGATTTCCTTAGGGTCAAAAATCGAAGTAAGCATTGCTGTGGAGATGTGATTTATCTGCCACTAATGAAAGATCATGGCCATTCATTAGCATTATTAGTTCTGATAGTACTTTTGTTAAATTGTTTTATCTTTGATGATAATAACCAAAACAATGGCCAATGAGTATCTATTTTAGTAGCTCAAGTTATTAATAAATATAATTATTCCAACTCACCTTTGTTAGATTTCTCAACAGTAAAGTTAAGTGTGTTGAGAGAGTATTGGATTTTGGCTGGCAACTAACTGGTTACTACTCATTGATTTGGTACATCTGATTTTCCCCAGAAATCATTGCCTCAGAGTCTAATTGGGTTCTCAGTGGCAGGGAAAGATGGATAAGAATACAAAGGAGTGTGGGTCAAGGTTAAAGTCTGGAATGGGTAAAAAGATTGAAGAAAGTGCTGTGTCATGGGGAGCAGGTGTCAGGGGAGAAAGTGCTTAATGGGAAGAGAGGCTATTGTGACACTAGAGGAGCCTTTTACACTGATGAAATGTATTGTAATTTCATTAAAAATATTTTAAGGCAAACTCAAATGGCCCTTGTTTCTGGAAACAGATAGGGAGGTTGATACAGAAGCAAAGAGAAAGCCTGGGTTTTCTTATCTTTCCTCTATTAGAGTTTGAGCGCTATGAAAGAGTTCTTGGGTATGTGTGTGTGTACCTACCCATGCCAGAGTGCATGTTTAGAGGTTGGAAGATGACTTGCAGGAAGGATCAGTTCTTTCACTCCACCATCTAGGGTCCTGGGGATTGAACTCAGGTCACCAGTCTTAGCAGCAAATGCCTTTATTGTAGAACCATCTTGCTGTCCCACCATGAACTGTTTCCTCCTTGCCATAATACCATCTTCCTGCAGACACCTGTGCTACTAAATTCCTTTTTCATTCATTTTCCTGAATCAGATTTCCAGCTCATTTCTTCCTTCCTAAAATAGAGATTTTTTTTTCCTATTTAAAATCCTACCATGATCATTTGGTTTTCTTTAATGAATATGTCAATAACAGGAAAAAAAAGATACTATAAGCACAGTTGTAAGAAATCATTCAGAAAAAATGTAATGTGGTGACTGTTAGGGCAACAGATATTTTCCTAACTTTGTATTTCCTAAACAGCACCAACAGAAAACTGCCTGTGATCTCTATTGCACTTAGGGTTTCTCTTGTCTCCTTTTCTAGATTCATCTCCAAGAAGCACAATTACTAACCTTCAATCAATTCAAAGGCTTCCAGTATGCCGAAGGAATAATTTTTGTCATATATCTTGAGGTGTTTGTTTGTAAAAAAAAAAAAAAACAAAAAAACAAAAAAAAAAACCAAACCCAAAAACCAAAAACCAAAAAACCTTGACAAATAATTCTGTAGTGTGATGAAATGTTGTAGACTTCTTTCTTAAGTCAAGCACAATCAGTTTCCATTAGTGACAGAATTTTGTTCATCTATGATGTCGTTGTTTAGTGATTGCATTCTAGTATTTCTACTTTTTTTTAAAATGACAGGACCTTTAGTTCATGTATCCTTTTATATGCAACTAAAATTTTACTCAAATTGTTTCATATAACTGAAGAGTACAAAAAATACTTGAATTGTTTCTCTTGCATTCCAAGAAGTACAAAATTAGGTATTAAATAGTTAGTACATCTCATAAATATATTTGTTACAGCAGAAAAGATGAACACAGATGTAGCTGATTGTTTTTTACTCTTTTGGGGGGCCTACCACTCAGCTCCCAAATAAATCACATGGAGGCTTATTCTTACTTAGGAATGCCTGGCCTTAACTTGGCTTCTTTCTAGCCAGCTTTTCTTAAATTACCCCATGTACCTTTTGCCTCGGGGCTTTTGTCTTTCTCTATTTCTTTCTTTACTTCTTACTTCATGGCTTGCTGTGTAGCTGGGTGGCTGGTCCCTCTCCTCTTCCTCTCTTCCTTTTCTTGTTTTTTGATCTTTCCATACTTCTCCTTCTATTTATTCTCTCTGCATGCCAGCCCTGCCTATCCTTTCTCCTGCCTAGCTATTGGCCGTTCAGCTCTTTATTAGACCACTCAGATGTTTTAGACAGGCAAAGTAACACAGCGTCACAGAGTTAAACAAATGCAACACACCTTGCTTCATTAAACAAATATTCCACAGCATAAACAAATATAACACATCTTTAACCAATATTCTACAACACACGGAAGTCAATCTGCTTTTGCTTATCTTGGACATTGAGTTTCCTTATTGATTCTCAAAACTTTTTTAACCCTGCAGAATCATGGTTCCTTCTATAAGAACAAAAATATTAGGCCATT